GCTCGTCCACCCCCTCCTCCAAGAGGCAGAATCATCCACAGCTCTCCTGGTGACGCCGGATCCAGCACTGGTTCCCCGGGTTTCGTCCAAAATCAGCTTTGGATTTCAGGAAGAGACTCGCCGGCCACCGGTAACTTTATTCCAGGATCTCCGGTGACTCCCTCCGCCGAGGGACGCGATTTGGGAATCAGGGGCCCACCGGGATTCACGCCCCATCCGTTCCCAACGGAACTCTCTGCAGCAAGCCCAAGAACAGCCTCGGGGCTTGCCCCCCAACGGCTCTATCCTCAACATATGATGGTCTATGGAGCAACACCTCATCTCCCTCCTCCTGTCAATGTCCGCCCCACCACCATTGCTCGTAATCTTGCGCCTGAAATGGAGGCAGCTTCTTCCTGGACCCATCTCTATCCCTACCAGACCAGCATCTACAATGGGCCTTTTCAAGCCCAATCTCAAATGGGGGCCAATCTCTTTCAGACCCATCTCAACTTAAATCCCCATCAGAGCCAGCCCAACCAGAATCATGTCTCCCAAATTGTGGAAGATCTGGGTAATAAGTTGGACCTCAACAGAAGGCCCAATGATTATGATATCTCCTTCCCTGCAAACAGACTTGAAGAAGGCCAAGCTGAACCAAAGAAAAGAAAACAGGGGCAGCCCCTTGACTTCTCAGGGCCTATGTTCACTCCAGGTGATGGCTCCAGCAAGCCCAGCAAGCCCAGAAATGCCAGAATCAGGATCAAGGGACGCAAGCATCAGGAAATGGCAGGGGAAGACAAACCAGATCTCTTCGAAGAAGCTGAAAAACTTCTGAAGCACCCACAGGCTTCTAACTCTGAGGTGAAGGTGGCCAACCTTAAGCCACCGAGGTTAGAATGAGTTGTATTAGCTGGAACTGCCGGGGAATTGGGCAAACCCGGACAGAAAATCATCTTCGAAGAATGATTAGAAGATTTCGCCCCTCCATTGTGTTCCTAATGGAAACTATGAACTCAAGAGAGACTATGGAGCAGCTTAGAATCAGCAACAATTTTTACAAGGGAGAATATGTCAATCCGGAGGGGACATCGGGTGGACTTGCGATTTGGTGGGCAGCGGGTCTTCCTCTCCGAATTTTGGATTGCGGACGAAATTTCTTTGATGTTTTTATTGACTATGGTGGAGGTTTTTACCTCACTTTTGTTTACGCCCCCTCGGTTCCTAGTGAGAGGAGGACGTTTTGGGATAGTTTGTCTAGTATTAGGAGTGATCCTAATGTTCCTTGGGTTGTTATTGGTGACTTGAATGCTATGTTATTTGACTATGAGAAGTGTGGGGGAGGGGCGCCAAGAAGAGAATCCGTTGTACCATTCAAGAACTTTATCTTCAATAACGGATTAATCGACATGGGCTACAAAGGACCACATTTTACATGGAACAACAAAAGAAGAGGACACCGACTTATCAAAGGGCGCCTTGATCGTGCTCTTTGCACACCATCATGGCGTGCAATTTTTGATGAAGCTGTCCTCTTCCACGACAGTGATGTCGGATCTGACCATCGAGCAATAAGACTCGAGTTTCATGCGCCTGATTCAAGAAAGAGAAGGCCCTTTCGTTTTGACGACCGTTGGCTTGGGAAGGAGGAATGTGACCAAGTGGTGCTTAATGCGTGGGCAACGGGAGGAACCCATGACCAAAGACTTAAGAGATGTGAAGAAAATTTGAAAGCTTGGGCGAAGGAGCTGAGAGAAGTTCAACACCAAAGGGAAACTGAAATCAAAAATCGGCTTGAGATTCTCGCCCAAACTTTCCGATCAGATGAGGTTTTGGAGGAGGAAACAAATTTGTTGGAGGAGCTTGATGCCATCTGGAGGGATGAAGAAAGAATGTGGAGGCAAAGATCGAGGATTAATTGGTTGGCGGAAGGCGATCAAAACACAAAATTCTTCCACAACTCCACTGTTTACCGGAAGCATTTCAACAGGATAATGGGCCTCAAAGATTTGAATGGGAATTGGATTAAGCAGCCGGACATCCTTTCGGCCCACTTATCTGATTTCTACAAGGAGTTGTTCAAAGCCAGAGATTCAGGGCTCGATGTGAATCTTCTCACCGACTTTCCTCGCATTGTAACTGATGATATGAATGCGGAACTGAGTAAGCCACTTTCTAGAGAGGAGATTAAGAATGCGGTTTTCTCCTTGGGACCGCATAAATCGCCGGGCCCTGATGGTTTCTCTGGGATCTTCTTCCGGAAGTACTGGAACATTGTTGGGGAAGATTTGTGTAAAGAGGTGGAATCTTTCTTTGCAACGTCTTCCCTTCCTCCCGGATGGAATGACACCCATATTGCCCTCATCCCAAAGATCCCTTCGCCGGATTCAGCTTCCCAATTCCGTCCAATTAGCTGCTGCAATTTCAAGTACAAAGTGGTTTCTAAGATCATGTCATCTAGAATCAAGAAGTTCATGCCTTGTCTCGTTTCAGAAATGCAAGCGGCCTTCACCGGAGGGCGTTTGATTCAGGACAACATCACTATTGTTCATGAGGTTCTTCATCATTTCAAGAAACGGAAAAAGGGGAAAAGATTTGATATGATGCTCAAGATGGACATGAGAAAGGCCTTCGACCTTGTTGACTGGGACTGTTTGGAAGCACTCTTGAAGGCCTATGGTTTTAATCATGCATGGTGTGGTTGGGTCATGGAATGTATTCGCACGGTTCGATTTTCCATCCTGTTCAACGGAGAACCGACCAACTTTTTCACCCCCACAAGAGGGATTCGTCAGGGAGACCCCCTCTCCCCTTTCCTCTTCATCCTTATGTCGAATGCTCTTTCCTTCTTGCTTGACAAGAGTGTCTCCCAAGGCGCTATTCAAGGGCTCAAAATGAAACCTAACTGCCCACGTCTGTCTCATTGTCTGTTTGCAGATGATACTGTCATTTTTGGCAAAGCTTCGAGAGAGGAGGCTCAAGCAATTATGGCGATCATCGACTCTTACAAATCCATGACAGGACAAGAGGTCAACATGGAAAAATCCTCAGTTTTCTTCAGCAAGAATACCCCAGAGGACCTCCGTCACCTTATCACGAGCTCTTTGAGCCTTCCTTCTTCCATCCACCATGATAAGTACCTGGGGGTCCCTACAGAATGGGGTCGTTCAAAGAAGGAAACGTTTTCCTTCCTGATCGAGAGGATGGAGAAGAAGGGAGAATCTTGGAAGAGTCTCACTCTCTCGCATGGGGGAAAGGAAACTTTGCTCAAAGCGGTTATCCAAGCAATCCCAACCTTCATCATGAGTGTGTTTCTCCTTCCGGCCTCTCTCACGAAGAAAATGGACTCTCTTCTCCACCGGTTCTTTTGGTCGGGTTCAATGAAAAAGAAAGTCATCCATTGGCGGAGAGGAGATGTCCTCAACGACCCGAAATCGGAAGGTGGGTTGGGTTTTCGAAATTTTCACTTGTTTAACCTCTCCTTGCTTGCTAAGCAGTGCTGGCGCCTCCTCAACGAACCGGAAGCCTTATGGGCAAGAGTTCTCCGTGGTCTTTACTTCCCGAACGGAGTGTTCTCTTCTGCCCGAAAAGGAAGCTCCCCATCTTGGATTTGGGCAAGCTTCTGTGATGCAAGGCAGGCTCTTGACATCGGAGCGATTCGGGTCATCGGATCGGGGGAGAACACTTGGTTTCACAAAGATCCTTGGGTCCACCCTCTCCACAATCAAGGGCACAAGATATCCTCCAATCTTGACCCTCCCTCTCGTGTGAAAGACTGGATGAATCAAGAAGGTACAAGCTGGAACTTTGACCTCCTTAGAAGACACTGCACAACAGAGGAAGTAGATGCTATTTCACATATCCAGATTGCCCCTGAGGGAACAGAGGATTTTTGGGCATGGAAATTCTGCCCTACTGGAGAATTCTCTGTCCGCTCTGCTTACCATGGTTTGCGCAACCATTTCCGCCATCATCACCATCCCCACCATCACGATCTCAACATGCCGGCCGCAGACGACAACTGGAAATGGCTTTGGTCTCTCAAGCTTCCGCCAAAGATCAGATTTTTCATGTGGAGATGCATTCGGAACGCCCTTGCAACTAACCTCAATCTTTTTCGGCGCAATTGTGCACCTTCCCCCCTTTGTCAGCTCTGCCGCTCGACGGAAGAAACCCCCATTCACTGCCTTTTCCTCTGCCCTCATGCAGCCGAAACTTGGACCAAGGTTCTTCCATCTTTTTCACCCCCGCAAAACCTCACTCAATGGATTTTCGACATGAAACATCGGGACGATCCTTCTTCTGTTCGTCGCCACATCTTCTGCCTCTGGAACATTTGGAAGGCCCGTAACGAGAGTATCTTTAGAGGAACAGCTTTGTCCCCAACAAATACTTCGATATGTGCCTTTCGGGAAGCGGCTGAACCCCATTATACACCGTACCATCCCCTCCCTTCTCCTCAGCCTCGGGTTCTCCCATCTCAATCATGTCCACCGCCTAGCAATCTTCGACAGATTCACTGTGACGGCTCCTACGAAAGTGACACACAGAGGGCGGCTTTTGGAGTGGTTATTACCGACTCCAACGGACAGATTTGCGATGGGAAGGCTGGAAGGATCATTTGCTCTTCCCCAATTGAAGCGGAAGTTACAGCCATTCTTGAAGCATGCCTTATTGCAACCAGTGACCGTGTTCCCTCGTCGATCCGTTCAGACTGCAAGACATTGGTGGATGCCATCTACAACAACCCTGCATCTTGGCCATGGCGCTGTTACGCGTCCCTCTCTTCTATCACCAACATCCTTCGCAGTTCTCCATGGATCCATATCTCCTTCACTAGTAGACAGAACAACAAAGAAGCTGATTGGGTTGCTCGCAACTGTAGACAAGATACCCTTCATGCCAATTGGCTTTCTGTTTTGGCTATTATTTCCAGCATGCTGTAACCTCTCTGCCTCCTTTGGGCTTGAATGAATGAAATTATTATTCAAAAAAAAAACTACTTAACTAGGCTGATCAGACTTGGCCCGACCTAAAAGCCCCAAACCTCTCATCTCTTCTCGCCAGGAATGTCGAACGCGACTGAAGCTCTCCATCGCAGGCTGACGCAGTAATCGCTCTCTCTCTCTCTCTGTCTCCAGCTCTGCATTTTCATTTCTCAATAGCCATACGCGATAATGGAAAGCTGAGGTTACTCTTCAATCTTCTTTTCTGTTAGATTATCGGAGTCGTTACTCGCCCATCTCTCTACTACACCATACGCGCCACCTGAAGGCTCAGCCGTCTCCGTGAAATTCGTCCTCCAGTCTCTCCTACGCAACCCTTCATCCGGCGCCGGGGAATCGCAGCTCCAGGAATCAATCAGGAATTTTGTTCTGGCATCGGCCTTGCTTTCCGCGTCCGAATCCTCCACTCACGAGTTGCTCTCATGGATTCCCCGTCAGCTCGCTGCAGCTGCTGCCGCCTCTTTCCGCGATCTCTCTGATGTGTATTGCCACGGCAATGACAAGAGGTTGGTGGCGGAGTTAGCGCCGGAGGTTTTGCTGTTGTTGAAGGACAGGATAAAGGAGAGTTCTATCGATAAAGGTACCGATGGTGATGAAGTCTCCGCCGCTTCGGCTAGGGTTCCGGTTGGATTTGCTATTCTGGCTGCTTATCAGCTTAGATGGTTTGTTACTCAGGTTTGTTGCCATTTTCTCGTTTGTCTGGCATTGCGATTTGGGAATGTTTGAGTTGAGTTCTCCCGTTTTGGGGGAGTGATCAAATTTTGCTTGTTTGTTCCGTGTACTAGATTGATAAGTTGAACTTGGGGAAACTCTGCAATTTGGTGATTCCATGTGCATTGACTGCTCTTGATCATTGGTCAACGGAGGTGAAGGCAAGTAGTTGTTCACTTTCATAGTTGCTGTTGCTCTTTTACTTTGTGTAACCGAATGAAGTATAACATTTCTGTGTATTGGGATTCAGGGCCAAGGGATGATATGTTTCATTCATCTAGGGAAGAACGTGAATTCTGCCGAGTTTGGTGTTTACCAGGATGTCATTCTTGATGCTTGCTGCAATAACATTGCATCTGCTGATGAAATATGGCATCTTGTGGTGGAAATGTCTGTGCTTCTGGTGTCGAGCATCCACCAAAGTAATCCAAGAAGCCATTGGTAGTGTTTACTTTTGCTCTTACTCTCTTCCTTGGACCACCTCCACCACATGCAATCAATTAGTAATTTCAAATGTTAGCCCCCTACTACTGCCACATAAGTAGTTTTAGCAATTACTTCATTCAACGATTCCATACCATCTACATCTATCTGAGTATAATTTGCAAATTGCTAAACCCATAATTTCCCCCTTTGTCACTTTGATTTCTCTCATTCAGGTATGAGAGGATACTAGGCGAGATGCTTAGTCACCTGGAGCGTCAGCCAAGAAATAAGGAACGCCGTGTTGCTTGGCTGACATTCATAGAACCACTCTTCCAAAGCATGGGTCTTGTGTTATTGGCTCATTTCAGGAGGCTTTTCCCACTTTTCTTCAAGTGGATACATGCCGATGATGATGAAACTGTCCTTCTGGTGTGTGACTCTTTTTCTGGTAGATCTGTAGACAAATTCAATTTTAGGGTTTAAGTTAAGGCAGGTTCTGAAACGGCCTACTCTTTTTGGTGCAGGTTCTGAAACGGGTTCATACAGTCTTGAAGTTAACATGGATAAGAAATACACCATATATCATGAGGTTGATCATCTAAACCCCTCTGTAATTTCTCCAGCTATCCACCATAACCTCATAGTGTCGGGCATTTTCACTTTTTGGTTAATAGATTGGTGGATGAGCTTGTTGCTTTGCACAAGGAAGCAGCATTAAGAGTATGCCGTGAAGAAATTAGGACGAGTATACTTGAGGTCCTGCTCTTACTGAAGCAGTAAGAACTTCTTCTCCCAAACCACAAATTTAATGCAGTCTTTCCTGTTAGTTACCCTGGCATCACCTTTTCAAATATGTTAAACTTACTTCACTTCCTCTGTATCTTTTTCTCTGTGCCATCCTGTAAATGAACCAAAGATGCAAGGGGCAGCAGTTCACGGCGGCCTGGGAAAAGCACAGGGATGACTCAAATCTAGCAGCTTTGTGTTTATCTTTAACTGAAATCTCCATTGATGAGGAGAGTTCCACCAGCAACACCTTGAGGAGTGACAGCCCACAAAACTGCCTGCAACTACTAACTACCCACTAAGTTGCTGGAGAACTCGATGTGTCCTCCACTAGACTTCATGTAAATACGATCATTCACCTTCTGTAGATCGAATGTACACGTACAGTTAATTTATTGCAGACCACGAACAAGGCCATCCTTTATTACCAATATGAATGACTGTTTCAGCATGGATTGTTGCCCCCAAATACGTGGATTTTGCTGAAGCGACCATTTGATCAGTGGATTGTTGCCTCAACTACATGGATTTCTTCTCATGTCTATCGGTCAAGAATAGAAACGAGTTCTTGTGAGCAAAAGACAGTTGATCTATTCCATACCAATAAGAAGGTAACATCAGTCACCGAGTCTAAACCATCTTGTATAGTAATAAAATAGCACATGTGAAAGAGTCAGAGAGAGACAAACTAATTATTAATTACAAAGTAATAGTAATAAAGGTAACTCAATATCTTTGGCTAACATTATGCAGAAGTAGATAGAAAGCCAAGAGAGATCAAGTTAATATCACTGGAACGGTGAACTCCTGAGTAAGTCTTTCATCATAAATTTAATCAATATGACAAATGTTAATAACAAACTCTGATTGTATGAGGGGGATGATTGAATTCTACAATCTTTCCTAAAAGAATATAAAGTAAAAAAGAGTAAATGATATTCTTCCTCTACAAAACCCAGGCAGGGAGTAATAGAGAGATAACTCATCAAAGTCTCTTATTGAGCCCTTTGTTTTCTACTATTCTTTTCTTTTTTAACTTTCATTTTTCATCTGGCTAACATCCTGCAGCTGTTGCTGATACAAAGTGGAAAACCCTAACCCTACCCAGAACCCCCAGGCTTCCAAAGAAGAATTTTTTTTGGTGTATTCTTCTAGAGACCAAAATAGTGTGATACACCCTTTGTACTGCACCATTGCTCCACTGAGCCAACCTGCTCTTTCGAAAGCATTGCAGCTGCCGCCACCTCGTGATCTTTTGACAAAATAACAGAATGCACAGTCGTCTTTCTTACATGCTGACTAGGGTGCTGGCATTTTATCATCACTTACTTCTTTTCTTTACTTCACTGTAGAGGATGACTCCAAGAACTGTTAGAGAGTAGCCAAGCATCCCCGTAATAGATACTGGATTCTTGAAGATTAGAATCGAGACGACAACTGCCACAGCGCCTTTCGCATTCCCCAAAACCTGCAAATACAGAAGCAAAATATGATTGTTTGTTATCCGGGTTGCAAAGGAACTTAGTCCTGACCTAATCTCAGTATTTAAGTTAGAACTGCATAACCAAAAAGGTCTAAACCCAGGACAGACTTTTCATAAGATCAAGATTCTGAACCCTGAACTCCATGAGTAAGTACATTTTTTTCCCTAGAATCAATTCATAGTTGGCTAAGGATCACTTCATAGCCATTGCATTATGCTGATGTGACTTAGAAGTGCATGGAAGGCAGCATACCTGGAGAGTGAGAGCGCTTGTGTGTTTAGTGACCAAGAAGTTGGTCAAATTGACAAAGAAAGCTAATACGGAGTTGAAGAACAGCATCCACATGAACTTTGGATCATCTCTTGCCAGAGCCAGAGTAATACCAACCACATTCCCTTCCATCGTTAGGGTCGCAGGCAGCAAGAACACAACAGCAATTGGAGCCATGTATAGGAGCAGATTCATGGAATTCAGCTTCTCCCTTGAGACAGAAATAACAGAACCATTTTTCAGCATGTAATCCTAGTTTCAAACTTTCCAATATCAAATGAATTTCAAAAGTACTTGTGCCACTAAAAAAAGGACCTTACCCCTCTGAAGAAAGCAATATACCCTGGACGACTGACTTAAGAGCTCTTGCTGCTGTAGCAGCGATACACATTATAAACCCAAAGAGATGGAAGCTTGGTTCACCCTGTTGCAACAACACAGAAAAAAGACATAGATCAGAACCAACCCAGAAGCATGAAACTCTATCTACATATAAAAAACACAGAAAAGCAATCCAATTAATTGATTCAACCGGATAGCCTGCAGAACTGTTGAGCATTTGTCATCTCTAGAATCAACCTTCGAAAAGCAATCATTTAAGAAGCAATGATGAAATGCGTAACCATTTATCAGAGAAAAGAGCTGTTCCAATAGAATTTCACTGCCAGAGTCCAATTTTAACCCCTCACTTCAGCAATGAAATGATTAGAACACCAAATCCCATTGCAGAAACTCAACCAGCTAAAATCTAACCTCACACTGGAAAATTGAGAGAAATCGGTACTTACCCCAGTGGCAATAATGACTCCAGTCACCACAGGAACCAAAGTGAGGTAAGTGAGCCAAGCCTCCCTCTTGAGAGTCATCGCATAAGCAAAGACGGCGGTGAAAAACGGGGTAGTGGCGCCGACAGCCTGATTAAAGGACACCGGAAGGAAGCGGAGGGAGATGTTCCCAAACACCACCGACACACAGAAGATCATGCTCAAAGCGGAGATCTTGAAGAATTGGGTGCGGGATCGAATGGTCTGCAAGGGGACGACCTTCATCCAAACAATGGAGATGTAGCTGAACAAGCTGCAAGCCGTCATGTGGCACATGGTGAGGAAGATTGGGAACTTGAACTCGTAAATGCTGAGCAAGAACTTGTTCATCAGCAGGACCCCGATGTTGGAAGAGTACCAGCAGGCGACCAGGCCGATCGTGAAGAGCAGCGTAGTCGCCGGCACCGCAATGTTCCCCTTCACTGACTTCTCCATCTCGACTTAAGCTTTGAGCTATGGAGATCTGAGAAATCGAGGGGCGTGGGGTGGGCGGCTTGAGTTTTCCCTTCTTCGCTCGGATTAGTCTGCAAAGAAGGGGGGTTTTCAGTGGCTTCGAAGTTCCCTAGATTGCTATGGATCCGGACACGCCATGGATCTCTGCCATAACAATGGAGGAAAGGGGGAAGGAAGCAAAAGGAGAAGGTAAACTCGACGGGCGGAGAGGGATAGGTGACGGGGGGAGAGAGAGATGGAGAGAGGGTAGTGGGAAAGAAGGAGAAATTGGTCAAATGGAGGGGAAGTGCGACGGAGAAGGAAGAGGCGGATTTTTTTTTTTTAAAGAGGGGGGAATTTGACGGTGGCGGCGGAGGAGAATGAGGTGGCGGTGGTGCTAAAACGCGTTGAAGAAGGGAGAATTCTGGTAACGTGGGGGGTATTTTCTCCGGTTTCTGTTTGTTTCTTTTTTGTGTAGTTTTATAATAAAAAGAAGAAGATTAGGGGACTTATTTCTTTATTTTAATTAATTAAATATGGGTTTAGGATGTGTGCTGGTTTTGTGTAGGGGAAGGAAAGGCGTAGTTTGACTTCTTTAGGGTACTAATTGTGGGGGGAAATTTCTTTAGGGACTCTTTACGTCATTTACAATTCAACTCAATTCAAGATCTAGTCCTCGCAAATTCAGTGAGATTTCGTTTCGTACAACTACAAATCGACAATTTAATTTTATGATATTATTTCTATTTAGTTGAAGCATAGATTTGGTTAATCAGGTTTTAATTTGGGGCGTGCTTTCAAGGCTATAAATAGATACTTTATACCTTAAAGAAATGAAAGGAAAACTATGTATAATTGTACATGCAAATTAAATGTGAATTAATAATCTGAAAAGTTTGTTATAAGAGCCCCAACTTATTTCCGATAATGGGGAAAAAGAAAGGAATCACACGTTGAAGTAGTACAATTAACTGAATCCATCCAGGAGCCAATCAAGGGGTTTATTTCTGACATTGGTGTATGTATGTAATGGCCATGGGCCCTTTGTGATGTAGACCTTATTACAAATTTAGATGTTGAAATCTCTTCATTAACGTGTGAAATTTCTCGAGCTTTAAGCTCGTGGAGCATTTAGGGTGTTGATCAATATGAGCCCAAGGGCCCAAAAGCAAAGCGTCGGCCCAACAATCCTTTTTTTCTCTTCTAAAAGGACGAAAAGTCAAGTTGACTTCATATTCTACTTATCCTCCTGTAAAAAGCAAGTAGATGCGCGATGAAGCGATTTTAGGTTTGGGTTAAATAATAGAACGTAGAAACAAGAGCACGAAGTTTTTGCTCTCAAGTAATACATAACCAAACGAGTCTCATTTTTGTAAGTTCTCAACCGTGTGGGTACGTTTGCCAAGTGAACTTGAACAGTCGCTATGCACACGGTATCGAGCAACAACACGAGCAAAATAAAGGACATAGGACTGTTCTAGCATAGGAAACAATTCGAACGAAGGACTTCTGCAGATGGTCTATAATAACACCAATAAGCAACGAAAGAGAGTTCAAAGAAGGATTTGATTACTCCGATCATTCAAACAAGAACGGGGTGGGGGGATTACTAATACTGGAACGGATCGAAATGGTGTACAATGTCCATCCACCATACTAAACAAAACAAAACTCTCCGACAAAATGAGAAGGCACAAGAGAAATCAAAGCTCAAATTATCGAAGAACCCAAGTAATCAGAAGTTGCCTCCGAGACAAACAAGCTCCCCATCTACAAAACCTGAGCAGCAAGGAGAGCAAGACTTCAGAAAAAATGGTACAAGAAAACCAGGTCTGCACAAAGATTCAAATGCAACTGAAGCAGCTATACCGAATTCGACAAGTAAAAATGACTACTGGATTCACGCCTGTGATTTAGTAGGACAAACACTTCACTCTACCGAATTCGACAAGAAAAGGAAAGACAGTGCTAAGCCAAGACAACAAAGCCTAATATCTTCTAGTTACTCCTGAAATTCTAATTCAGATGACAAAACTACACATCTATATTTCAGGCTATACAAAACAAACTAATCCACACATCAACTAGACAGTACCTTAGATATTGCTGGGGTACATGAAGACTCTTACTCTGTCTCCCTGCAACATAAACCAGAAATCTGGTAAGCCGCAACAAAACCAGCAAAATTAGAAACTCAAAACTCTGGGAATTGTATCACTTCAAGTACCATGGACTTGGGGGGGAGGTTGGACGTGAACTTTGCTCTAACAACACCGCTGTTTCCATGAGACCGTGAGACCTTGCCCCAGATGCAACGATAGTGCGAGCCATCCTTCTTAACCTTGGCCTTGTAGATATAGGCCAAGCGCTTTCCAGCATACCATGCTACCTCTTCCTTTGTATTCACTCCCTCAATTTGGATCAGAGAAGTATTGGGGTACTGGTTTGCCTTGGACCTATTTATCATTAACAAAATCAACATTCAATCCCTCAACACAAACCCTAGAAAGATTACCACATTAACTGAAAACTAGTAAACTACACTAGTTATTCGAATTCACTTTTCCAATACATCGAAGATCTGAAATACTGTTATTGAGGACCACATTTCCTGAAACCCTAACTAGATGGTAATAGAGAAATAGGGGAATCATCGAAGTTCAAGCCTCATTACCTCTTGTACCCTAGGATGGTTCCTCTGACGTAAAGTCTGCAAAAAAGCAAAACGATCAAAGAAGAATAATTATCTTCAATCCACCACTCTCTCGATTAACAAACTTGGTAATACGAAAAGGAAATCTAAACTGCGAGCTGGAGAAAACAGTTGACTGTCGGTCTGAGATCGTAACCGGAATTGGAGATATCCAGCGGAAAAGAGCTCGAAGTAACAGAGAGGAGATCGGGAAAACAAATACCTGACGCGCTCTCCTTCGCGACCTTTCACCATTTTTGCGGGTTGGAGGCGGAGCTTTCTCCCTTTTCCCGGTTGTTGCAGAGGTGGCTGGAGTGATGCGATATGATGCGGGAGAAGACGCTTCCTAGAACCCTAATTTCAGTGTCTACTTCATTTAAAGAGAGAGCGCGGGGCAAACCTCCGTGCTAACCATTAGGCCCTTGATAAAAAGGCCCAGTTATTGAGCCCGACAATGCACAGATGATTATCTCTCCAGAAATATCCATCGGGCCTCAATAGAGCACCAGTTCTCGGCCCATTCCAAAGTGCAGATAAGTCATAATTTTTTTGATTACGCAGATAAGTCATAATGATTAGCTACTTAGCTCAATAGGTCAAGATTGATCTTTCTCTAATCACTAGTAATAATGCATGCTCCTCTAGCGCTAACTACAAACTAAAAAAAATTAAAAATAAGTTATAATTTTTTAAATAGACTATTCTATTTGTGAATCCAATGTCAACCCCAGTATTTTAGGAAAACTAAGAAGAATGGTAGATAAGGGTTATAGAAAAAAAAAGAAGAAGAGGAAACTGTTCTAAAAAGAATTGTTGGATTTCAAAATCACGTTGTTTACCAATAAAATAACTTAATATCAGGTTGGTTAGTTTTAAGGAATGGTTGTAGACTTGTAGTTTATAAGGTTAGCTTAACTACTTAATTAAATTTGTTTAAGTTGGTTTGTGTGATGGACTTTTGGGCCATCATGTATCATGCAAGGTATGCAAGGTATCTTAGTGTATTACCCCTCACCGACCCTCAAGCACTATACCTCATCCTAATCCATCAAGTATATCCAAGGGGGCCAGTGTGGGTATACCTTGTCCCAACCCATCAAGCATGACATGATCATAGAGGGTCATTGTGTGCATCCCGAATCCTTACCCATTAAGCACCCAAGTGTAAAACTCAAAACGCCTTCTCTCTCTTACTTTTTTTCAAAAACGTGCTCTGCCTTCTCTCCTTCTCCAGCGCCTCTGTGAGATTTTCCAGGGGTTGTCGCCGGCACCTCTTGGTGACCGGCGGTAGCCCAATGCCATTTCCTTCTCCTTTCAGTCTTTTCTTGCTGCTTTGATTCTGGTTTGGCATTTTTCAATCGGATTTTCCAGCTTTTTAGCTTCTCCTGCCTTTATGGCCTTTCCTTGCCCTGTTCTTGGGTTCCTTTTCCGGATTTGCTCTCCTTGGGGTTGGGTTATGCATCTAGGGGTCTCCTCTCTAGATGGTGGGTTCATCAACATGCATGGTGAATCGATTCAGCGTTTTCCCCTCCGTTCCCCCTAATGGTAGTTCTCTGCCTCTTGGTCGGCGTTGGTGGAAGGAAGGCGGTGTCTGGCCCTTCTGACTGCGGTTTTCAGCTCTTGGATTTTGGGGTTTGAGCTCTTCTTCTCCCTTGACCAAGTTCTTGGTGCCTTGTCTCCCTCTGCTTTTTCAGCTCGGAGCATTTCGATCCTCTTCCATTTCCACCGCCATGTAATCCCTCACCAGAGATTCACTGTGTTGAGCGTCTTCGAGCGACTCCCAGGAGGCGGCATATGGCGTTGTGTTCAATTGTCATGGATTCGGTCGGATCGAACGAGCTGATTGTGCTTGGTGCTCTTTGATTGGTTTGATTGCAAGAGAGGTTTCGGTGTTTTCTGGATCTGATTCAAGTGTTGCAGATCTTTTGGGTTGATCTTTTCTGTGTTTTGTTCTTCCCTTGTTGTATTTCTTAAACACAGATTGTTCAATCGCGTGCTTAAGGTTGTATGTCCTTGATCTTCTCTGGACTTCTTTGTTGGCTTGTCTTGTAACCTATCTTTCAAAGAGCAATACAAGTAAATCCTTTGTCAAAAAAAAAAAAAAAGCACCCAAGTGTCAACCATGACATCATCCTGCAGGGTTAGTGCGCATCCACCAAGTACAAAAGTGCCAAGCATCATGTCACGCTGAGGGGGTTAGTGAGCATTCATCAACCCCCTCGTTCTCGACCCCCTGCCCCCAAGCATTTAAGTGTCAAGCATTACGTCATCCAAGGGACGTATAGTCGGGTATCAAGCACGATACCTACCCAAAAAGACCATCTAGACTCCGTGGATATCCTCAAGGCATTGAGCATCGAGGTGCTCGAGACCGATGTGTCAAGTTGGCGACCTACTCATCATGACGACCCCCCCCCCCCGCCCCCCTAAGCGTGTTACCCTCACATGTCCAGCACGACAGACTATCTAGGTGTTAAACACGAGGCACCCATTTAAGTAGTCATCACGTCACATTCCATCAAGCCCGCAAACACACAAGTCTATCTAGTAAGGTATCTGAACAAGCAGTCAAGCAAGATACCTCCTTGGCAAAGACTACCCATCAAGCACGATATGAAGTCTTCAAGCCGTCAAAGTATCAAGTGACTAACACGGAAGGATGATGAGTTAGAGAATCAAGCAAGCTACATCAAGTACTATGACTCTTGGAGGAGTAGTTACCGAGGAGGTTACACCAAATGGCTATCAATAGGAGAAACGAAGACTAGAAAATGGTTTAGAAAACCACAACTCCAACACGCATGTCAAGTTTATATTTTTCTCTGCAAAGTACCCATATGTAGTTTCCATATCTCTCACTGAACCTCCATAAGAGTACAAAATAATTTAACATAGCTTGTTCTTAAAAAAAAAACTCCATCAAATACATCAAACACTCTCGTTAGAACATTGTTTAGAGAGATGTAAACTATGTAATTAATCAATATCCAAAAAATTCAAGGTACAATCTATTATTATCAAACATAAGTTCCCTCGTCGAAATGCACATGCATTATGTTTCAAATTGTAAACTCATTAATTTCCATATCCAATATTTTTCAGTTTGGTTCTTAATCATGCTAATCATTTATGGACCTGATATAAAAACAACATAATAAAAGTTCTCAACAAAACATTGGAAATCAAGATAAGAAAAATATCACCAAGGTATAGAGAGCTTTATTTGTTCCTGTTCGAGCCCGGTAACTAGGCGTCCCGAACCCTCGCACTTGATCCTTCCCGCACGCTCGGACCTACATGCTGCACTACTAACCTGAGTCCCGGGGAGGACTCGTTAGCACTCCAACGCCCAAGTCAGCTCCCTTTTCTAGAGAGAGAAGTGAATAGTAATTTTTAGAGAGAAGCACCAACCTCCGTAAATGAAGTTCACCAACCGACTATTTATACCCGAAGCCCGGCCGACCAACATCCTTCCCTTTCGCCCCTTGCCAGACCCGCAATTAATGCTCCGTACGGCCTAGCGCTCATGCGCCTCGACCATCTGACACTCCGTTCAGAAGGGTCAGGCGCATGACGTCAGCCAGTCCTCCGACCCGTACACTGGGACTCCCCGGTGCCCACTTGTCGCACGCGCCTCGTGTCAGGTTTGCGGCCCCACCCGTCTGGGGCAGCTTTTCCCTGTCTCTGGGCCGACTTTCCCTCTGTGCCTGGGCCCATTGGGCTGGGCCCAATTCCTCAGCCTCCCAAACCCTACTCTTGAGCCCTATTGGTTCAACCCACATGGGCCACGTATACATCCCCAACAATTGCCCCCCCAGCTAGGCGCCTGAGGCTTCTTCCAAGGCGCCTAGCTGGAACATGGTGCTCCTTAGGCGTGGGCTTTTTCCAGGCGCCTTGAACTCATTGCGTCCGCCTCCGCTTCGAGACGCCCTGTTTGCCCCCGTGCGCCTTGCCCCCAGACCCTTGCCTCCGTGGTTCCCTGGTTCTTCCCCTTGCTATCTGCCCTAACCACACGGCGCCTTGTTAGCTTTTTGCACGCCTTGCCCCCGGCCACGTGGCGCCCTGTTAGCTTTCTGCGCGCCTTGCCCCCGGGCTTCGCCGCTTGCGATTCATCGATCCTCTCCAATGTTGCGGACCCTCCAGTTCTCGCACTTCGAATGTTATCAAGGTATCCTCGGGATCCACCCTCTTCCCTCCAGGACCTTTGGACTTCTCCCCTATCCCATCATGAGACCCCTGGGCTTCCCCTACTCTGTGAGACTCTTGAGCTTCCCCCTATCTCCCCCTAGGCCGTTTTGAATTTTGAATTTCGAAATTCGGAATTCGAAACGGGCTAACACTGGGACTCTTGAGCTTCCCGCTCCACACTATATATTCTCCTCCTCCCCCTCACTTCTTCTTCACTTCCCCTCAGAAAGCTCTGACTTCTCTCTTCTTTCTCTCACTAGAAACGGCCGTTCGCCCTCCCGTGCGCCTTCCTTAGTTGCTCTCGCGCCTTGACTTGCGCTCCCATCAATGGCCTCTTCTCAGCAACCTTCGGCTTCGCGCTCTGCGCCCTCCTCCGGCGCTCCTGCTTCCTCGCGCTCAGGCGCCCCCTCCACTTCGGCCGCCGCACCACGACGTAAGACATCTGCCCCTAATGCGCCTCTTTTTTGTTTTTGTTTTTTTTTTTTTTTTGCGTCCAATCCGTTAGCCTGCTCCTATGCGCCTTCCCTCTTACTTGTCGCGCGCCTAATCCCTTTGAGCCCTCCATTAAGTGCGCCTCGTGTGTTCTGTTCCCCCTCGTTTTCTTCGCCTAATCCTGTCTTTGCCCCCTTGCCCCAGGCCCTGACGCATCGCAAAGCTATGCGTTTCGTTCGTGGGAATCGACTTGGGCCTCGGGGCAAGCGCCCGACGACGTGGCCGGGTTGCCCTTGGAATCGGTGGGCCCGAAGCACCCGTCAAAGCTCGTACGTGTGCGCCTCGAGAAATTGCTGGTAGCCGCTGAGATGCCTGCGCCCTGGCAATATTCCCATGCGCCTCGAGCAGCTCGGATAGGCGCCTGTGGCGACGGTTGGGTAGGGGTTTACCAAGAGTACCTTAGATTCGGGCTGCGCTTTCCCCTCGATCCCATCCTTGAAGGGGTCCTTGATTCGTGCCGGTGTTCGCTGGGGCGCCTCTCTCTAGCGGTCATACTGTACTCCATTCTATTTCGTCTTAAGTGTCGGCAGCTGAGCATCGAGCCTACCTTCAAGCTCTTCAACCATTTCTTCCGGATGAGCCGGAGTAAGAACTGCCTCATACTCCACAAGCGCAAGAAAATAGGCTACCACTTCATTGAGGATTGTCAGAAGTTGGGGCGCACGTGGTTTGATTCCTA